AGAGATTTGTTTTTCTTTATCTCTTATTTCTTTCTTTAATTCTTTAGTATTTTCCTCTATCATTTCAATCTTCTTCTCTAGTGTGTTTGCATTTTGTTCTAGCATTTTGTTTCTCTTTTTCAACTTTTCAATTTCTTCTTTCATTCCTTCATTTTCTTTTTCCATCTTCTTTTTATTAGCTTGGATGCTTCGGATTTTTTCTTCTATATTATTTACTTCTGTGATTTTCTTTCCTTCTATCTCATTTACTTTTCCTTGTAGTTTTAAGTTTTCTTCTTCTAATTTTTCATTTTCTTTCTTCATTTCTTCATAATTCGTTTGAATCTTTTTAATTTGTATTTTCATTTCTGTAATTTCTTCTTCAAATTCTTTCCTAACTATTTCTTTTGCTTTTCTCATCATTTCTTCTGAGATGGCTTGTTCTTCTTCCATTCTTTCCATACTGTATTCTTTAACTTTTCTTTCAATTCAGTAATTTGATTTTTCAGAGCAAGTATTTCTTCTTTTTCTTTTTCTTCTTCTATCTTTTCTTCTTTATTTTTTGTTTCTTCTTGTATTTTCATTATACTTTCTGTTTCATTTATTATTCTTGCAATTTTACATCTATCATTCATTTCTTTAATTGGGTTTTTGTTTTTAATTTCTGCTTCTATAGCCTTAATGTCTTTTTCTTCCCAATCTTTTGTTTTTTCTTTAAACTCTTCTTTCGTCTTTTCAATTATTTTTTTCTTTTTGATTGAATATACTTCTTGTTGATTATCATACCATCTTTTTCATTAAAAATAATACAATTAATATTGGAGAGAAGATAGAAGGAGTAGTAAGTTATACAAATGAAAGTATTAGTTATTTAAATTTAGGAAAAGGAATTACAGGAAGATTACATAAAATTAATAGTACAAAGAAGATAGAAATAGGAGAGAAAATAGAATGTTATATTATTGGAATACAAGTTAAAGGAGAAATAATTAAAGAAAAAGGAAAAGAAATAGAAGGAAGAATAGAAATAGTTGAATTAAGTATGAAGGAAGAAGGAAATATGGAAGAAAAAATTCAAGAAGGAGAAGAAATCGAAGGAATTATTAGTAGAGAAATGAAAGATGGATATATAATTTCGTTTAATTCAATACTTAAAGGAAAATTAAATTATATTGAAATAGGAGATAATATTGAAGAAATTAATATAAATAAAAAAGAATATAATGTTGGAGATAAAATAAAAGTTAAAGGATATTATAGTAAAGAAAATATCTATTTAATAAAAGACAAAAAAGAAGAAATTAAAGAAGGAGAAATTATTGTTGGAGAAGTTATTGGTAATAATACAAAAGAATTAAAAATTAAAGTATTAATTAAAGGAAATAGAATAGGATATATTCATTATTGTGATATAAGTAATGTTTTTAATCCATTTCCAAGAGATTATTTACAAAATGGAAAATATATTAATATGTATGTACTTTCAAATAAACCCGAAATTTTATGTTCAATGAGAAAAGAATATTTAAAAGAAGCTTATGATGAAATATTCCCACCATTAATAGGAGGAGTTCAAACACGTATTGTAACAAAAGATACTATTAAAGAAGGAGAAATTTTAACAGGATATATTATAAAAAGTAGTGAAGAAGAAGGAGTTGATGTAATGGTATCAAGAGATGTAACTATTCATGTAGCACCAGGAGAATTATTAGATAATACAAGTTATCATGGGAAAGATTTTTCAAGAATCTTTTGTATTCAACGATTAGTAAAAGTAAGTATCATTGATAAAGAAGGATTAGAAGGAACATTAAAACAAAGTGTTATTTATCCAGGAATAATTAAATACTTTAAAGATATCAAAGAAAATATAGTAACTAAATGTGTTATAGTAAATATTACAAGTGAAGGATTGTTTTTAAGATTCTTTAATTCTAATATTCGAGGATTATGTCATTGTAGTAAAATAGAAGATAAAAAATTAACAAAGAAAGAAATGGAAAAGAGATTTAAAATTAAAGATGTCATAATGGCAAAAGTAGTTCATATTGACAAGAAGAAACATCGAGTTAATTTTAGTATCAAACCAGAAGATGTAGGAGAAGTAGAAATGAAAGATGAAGAAGAAACAATAGCTATTGATCCATGGAAATTAGCATTAAAAAGAAAAGAACAAAAAAGAAGAAATGAAGAAAAAGATATTGCAATTAAAGAAGAAATGAAAGATGAAGAATTTAAAGAAGGAGTAGAAGATGAGGCTAACATAGAATGGGATGATCCTACTAAAGAAGAAGAAAAACATGAAAATACTACTATGGAAGAGGAAGAAGAAATAGAAGAAGGTAAAGATAATAATAAAGAAGAAGGAAGTATGGAAGAAGATAAAGAAGAAGAAAATATGGAAGAAGAAGATAAAGAAGAAGGAGTTTGGAAGAAGAAGAGGAAAGAAGAAGGAAGTATGTATTAGAAGAAGAGGAAAGTGAAGAAATTGTATTAGATTTAGATGAATGTCAAAAAGGAGTTGAAAAAGACCCAGATAATTCAATAGAATGGATTAAATTAATGCAATGTTTCATTCAAAGAAAAGAAATAGATGAAGCAAGAAAAGTAGGAAAGACAGGAATAGAAAGTATCAATTTTAGAAAATTAGAAGAGAAATTAAATATTTGGAAAGCATTAATGCAATTAGAAGCTAATCATGGAGATGAAAAGAGTTTAAAGAAAGTATATAATGAGGCATTAGAGGTATGTGATAGGAAGAAAATCATGCTTCATATGATTCACATTTACAAAGAAAAGAAAGAGGTAGAAGAAGAAGAGAAAATCTTCAGAACATTATTTAAGAAAGTTAAAGGCAGTTGTAAAGTATATAAGAAATACTGTAATTTCCTAATGAGAAACAACAGAGAAGAAGAAATCAAAAACACATTAAGCAAAGCAAAAACAACATTAGATAAAAAGAAAATGATAAGTTTAGAAATTCATATTGCCCGATTAGAATATAAATATGGATCAGTTGATAAAGGAAGGTCAATGTTTGAAGATATTTTAACAAACAATCCAAAACGACATGATGTTTGGAATATTTATATTGATATGGAGAAAGAAGTAGGAGATGTAGGAGTAATAAGAAGAATATTTGAACGAATAGTTAAACAAAAACTAAGTACAAAGACAATGAAAACATTCTTAACTAAATACTTAGAATTTGAAAGAAAATATGGAGATGAAAGTAGACAAGAACATGTTAGAGACATTGCTAAATCATTTGTTTCAACAAAATGAATTGATTGATTTTTTAATAAAAAGAGAATAATATTTTAGAATTTTATTTATTGGTTGAAAAAGTATAATTTCAATTAGATTAATAAGAATGATATTATTGTATTTTTAATATTTATATTTTATTTTCTATTTATTTCATCATAATTAATTATTATATTTATAATGTATTTAAATGAAATTAAAATCATCTGATATATTTATAATGATTTTACATGAAATAAAACAACAAAATTATTTATAAAAGTATATTGAATAATATTGAAATGAATACCTTTGAAATAATTAATTAATTGAATTTATTCAAATATATATTATATTTTATATAGAAAATGATATAAATAATGTAGACATTGTAGATATTCATAAATTGTTAGATATGAATAATGAAACAATCAATTAATTCATTTGAAGGTGATATTGAGAAATAGATGATGTTAAATTAATTATTATCATTTTATTTTAAAATTATTTTTTTCAAGTTTAAAGATAATGAAGAAGAAATAAAGTGAATAATTTGAAATTGTAATTTTATTTTAATAATTGTTTCTAAAATGTCACTTGATAAAATTAATGAAATAATATTTTAATAAATAAGAAATAAATTCAAGTATTTTATATAAAATAATGAAATAGAACATAATAAAATTATGAAAAAATTCAAATTAAATTTACAATAACATTTAAAAGAAATAATAAAAAAGAAGAATGAAAGAGAATAATTAGAAATATAATGAACAAAGAAATAAAAGAGAAATAAAAATAAATAAAATTTAACACAAGAAATGAAGATAGAAAAGAAAATAAAAAAGAATAATGAAATAACAATAGAATCAATGATGAAAAATAATCGAATGAATAACATAATGAAATAATGAGTTATGAAGAAATAAATAAGTCTAAATAGTCAACATCAAATAATAAAATAAAGAAGAAAAGATAGATATACAAAATGAATAAAATGAAATAAAACAACAAATAGAAAATAAATAGAGGGTAATAAATAAAAAAAAGAAAAAGAAAAGGAAATAAAATAAATTATGAGAAGAAAATATATAAATTGAAACAACATTTGTGTTAATACAGTATGATAAAAATAACGACACAATCATGTTAACGAAATTGAAAATGAAAGAAAAGAAATAAAGAAATAAAAATAATAAACCACGAAATTCGATAAAAATGAATAGAAATAACATTACATTAACACCGATAATGCTATTTTTATGATTATGTAATGATAAAATAAAAACAAAACAGTGAAAAACATCACTGGAATAAAATAGAAATAATAGTAATTCTTCATTCAACAGTATTTAAAGAAGATGAAAAAGCTATAAAATAACAAAACATGTTTGGAATTAAAGATAGAAAAAAATATGGAATGAAAATACCAGAAAAGTTTTGTGGAATAGCTGATGAATGTTTTTCTGGATGTAATAATCTTAGGCAAATTAATATACCATCAAATATTGAATCAATAGGAGACTCTTGTTTTTCGGAATGTACATCATTAACAACAATTAATATACCAACAAGTGTTAGTGAAATAGGAGATGAATGTTTTAGTAGATGTACATTATTAAAATCAATTACTATTCCATCAAGTATAAGTAAATTAGGATATGGATGTTTTTCGGAGTGTTCATCATTAACAACAATTAATATACCAACAAGTGTAATTGAAATAGAAAGGAGATGTTTTAATGAATGTAAGTCATTAAGAACAATTGCTATACCAACAAGTGTAGTTGAAATAGGAGACAATTGTTTTAATGAATGTAAAATATTAACATCAATTACGATACCAACAAGTGTAAGTAAAATAGGGGATGGTTGTTTTTCAGAATGTTCATCATTAAGAATAATTTCTATATCTACAAGTGTAATTGAAATAGGATATGGATGTTTTAATGAATGTTCATCATTAAAAACAATTAATATACCAACAAGTACAAGTAAAATAGGAGACAATTGCTTTGATGGATGTAAAACATTACAATCAATTGACATACCAACAAGTGTAAGTAAATTAGGAGATGGATGTTTTTCAGAATGTTCATCATTAGACTCAATTACTATACCAACAAGTATAAGTAAATTAGGAAATAATTGTTTTAGAGAGTGTTCATCATTACAATCAATTGACATACCAACAAGTGTAAGTAAAATAGGATATAATTGTTTTTCTGGATGTACAAGATTAAAAACGATTACTATATTCACAAGTGTTAGTAAAATAGGAAGTTCTTGTTTTTATGGATGCTCATCATTAACAACAATTAGTATAGAAGATGTAAAATATATAAGTGAAGAAAGAATATTTATGAATGAAGCAGTGTTAATTAGTATTGAAATACCAAAGAATTTAAAAACAATAAATGGAAAGAAGATTGAAAAGAAAGATATTAATGAATTTATTATTCCATCAACAATCACTAAAATAGGAAATGGTTGTTTTGAAGAATGTGAATCATTAAAATCAATTACTATACCAACAAGTGTTAGTGAATTAGGAAATGATTGTTTTGAAGAATGTGAATCATTAACAACAATTAATATACCAACAAGTGTTAGTGAACTAGGAGATAGTTGTTTTAGTTCTTGTTCATTATTAACGTCAATTAATATACCAACAAGCGTTAGTAAAATAGGAAATAGTTGTTTTTATGGATGTACAAGACTAAGAACGATTAATATACCAACAAATGTTAGTGAACTGGGAAATAGTTGTTTTGATGGATGTTCGTCATTAACATCAATTAATATTCCATCAAGTGTAATTGAAATAGGAGATTGGTGTTTTTCAGAATGTAAGTCATTAAGAACAATTACTATACCAACAAGTGTAATTGAAATAGGAGGGTGGTGTTTTAATGAATGTAAATCATTAACATCAATTAATATATCCACAAGTGTTATTGAAATAGGAGATAATTGTTTTGATGGATGTCCGAATGAGTTGAAAAAGAATGAGGTATTAAGAAAGATATATTATAAAGATGACTGTGTCATTGTTTAAGTGAAGGAAATTAACCTAAAATAATTGAATTTTAAAATAAGAAATAAAGAATAAAATAAGAAAAGAAAATAAAGATATAATAAAAATTAAGAAGAAAATAATAAAGAGAAATTATAAGAATATAAACAA